TTTTTGATGCTGTCTTCCAAAAAAAAAAAAAAAAAAAAAAAAGGCACTTTACTGGCAGCCCAACTACCCCTTCAGTTTCTCTTCAACAGAACAGAGCTCATATCTCTCTCACCCTCTCTCCTCTGGCTATTGTCTCTTTACACATAGTTGTTACTTAATTGCCTTTTCTTCTGGGCTATTGCCCTTAATTGATTGATCCATTCAAAGAATAGAAAGAAAAGGCTGTAGTAGCCTCAGTCCTGAGGGCCAGGGGAGAGACCCAGCTCCAAATATTGGTGGAGCAGGGCCCCCAGCTCTGACTATTCTGGGAACCTGGGCACCAAAGCCCATTTAACTCGCCGCCCATGTCAACAAAAATACCGGACACACTTAACATGCCATCACAATCTACATTACATAGGATTTAGAAAATACTGGAGAGTTCTATTTTCTCATTTCTATTTTCTCAATTTGTTTCCTGAACAGAAAGCTGAAATACTGGGCTGTCTGGTTCAAAACTGGACACCTGGCAACCCTACCAGCACCGTTCAGCACAATAGGCTGCAGCAAGACCCCCAGCCAGGGAGGGAGCCAAGTTTGGGCCCTTGTGGCCAAAAGCCCGAAGACTTTATCCTCTGAAAGCAACGGCCTCAAAAGGGCCTCCCTAGTACTCAACCAGGGAGACAAAGATGACTTGTCCCAGGCTACAGGGACACATCTTATTTAGAGAATACTTGACATTTATATTTTCTCTTGTATATTTTCTCAATTTGTTTCCTGAACAGAAAGCTGAAATACTGGGCTGTCTGGTTCAAAACTGGACACCTGGCAACCCTACCAGCACCGTTCAGCACAATAGGCTGCAGCAAGACCACCAGCCAGGGAGGGAGCCAAGTTTGGGCCCTTGTGGCCAAAAGCCCGAAGACTTTATCCTCTGAAAGCAACGGCCTCAAAAGGGCCTCCCTAGTACTCAACCAGGGAGACAAAGATGACTTGTCCCAGGCTACAGGGACTGTCCCTGCTCTGAGAGCCACATTCAAGCTCATTGGAGTGGAACTGGAGTTTAGTTTCAGTTCTGTTAGACATGGCCCCCCCGGCTTTTTTGTCCCCTGCCTCTCTAGCTGCCAGCTACTTCCTCTCTGAATCGGGTGTAGTGCTGTGTATAGATAATGGCATGAACCACCATGCAACTGCAGAGCTAGGCCAGTGAGGCGTGGGCTGCCAGAGACAGGAATATTTACACCAGCAATGGGCAACCAAGGCTAGTGAGTGGGCTGCATGTGTGGCCTCCTTTATCTCAGGGGGGAGAGAACAAGATTGTCCTAACCAAGGCAGTCTCCCAGGACAGGGCAGTTTTGTTTTGTTCACTGTGCTTGTGTACCTAGAATGTGTTTTAAACCTGCTGCCTATTAATTTCATTTGGTGATTCCTAGTTCTTACGCCAGCGCTCACCAACCAGTCGATCGGGATCTACCGGTAGATCTTGGAGCCTCTGACAGGAGATCTTGACTGGCTTGGCCAAGAGGCTAGCAAGCCCAGCACTTCAGCTGCCCCCCACAGACTCCTGCGCATCTCCTGCTCTTTGCCTTGGAGCTGTCCCCCCAGGAACCTCCTGCTTGCTGTGCAGGGCAGGGGAGACAGAGGAGGGTGCTGATGGCAAGATGCCTCTTCTCCCACCCTGTATCCTAGCTCCACAGAGCAGAGAGGGGGCACAACAGGGCTTGGGAGGGAGTTTGCTGGCTGCTTTTGGGAGTGGTGCAGGGCCGGGACAAGGGTGAGCCTGCCTAGCCCCACTGCACCACCACCCAGGAGCCACCTGACGTAAACAAGGCCCAGCTGGAGCCAACATTCCAAAACCCTATCCCAGTCATGAACCTCCTCCTGCAACCCAAGCCCCTGCCATAACCCTGAGTACCCCTGCATCCAACCACCTCCTACAGCCTGCACCTAGATTTCCCTCCGGCATCCCAACTGCCTGCCCCAAACTCAGCTCAGAGTCCCTCTCACACTACAAATCCCTTAATCCAAGACCCACGCCTGCACTCCAACCTGCTGGCCCTGCCTGGTGAAAGTGAGGGAGGATGGGGGAGGGA